CGTCTCTGAGTATAAAAATTTCATTATACTTTATAATTTATTTTAAATTTTTAAATAAACCAATACCCCGACAGTACACTCGAATTAATATTAAGTATGAAATCTACATATACAACGTCATATAAGAGAAAAAATACGTCATATAAGAGAAAAAATACGTTTATTCCTAACAGAAATAGAAACCTTTATCCCTGGAAGTTGATGTGACATTTTATATCAGTTCGAAATACTGGAAATTCCATTTAAAACATTCTCACTACACCAATTCATTCATCCAAGCAATAATTCGTTATCTAAGTTAACCTTGGAATTACTAGATGGTGTAATTGACATTTAGCCTTAGCTTCCATTCGTTAAGTTGATTATCATCACAGATTTAGAAGTTCAAATGAAGTTGACTTGTTATATAATGAAAACGGAAGTTATTCCAAAACAAAACATACATTTAAAAAAAAATGCTTAAAACTCCGTCGTGCCAAAAATATTTATTATCATTTTTCTTTTTAAAATCGCGTATGTCTTAAAAGCAATATGCTACAAAAAAAAATGTAAAGATACGTGCACTACATTGTCAAAAACGACCGCAGTTACCGCACTCGCATTTGACCCGTTCTATCTGCAAGTTTAAATAAACACATTACGCCATCTATAAAAACGTCAACGAATTATATCCCGATATGGTACTGTAGCTGTTACCATAACAACAATTTTATTTTATCAGGACACCGAAATGTAAAGGCATTCATAACGCAAGGAGGTTTTCAATCCATGGAAGAAGCAATTTATAATAGAGTGCCTTTAATTGGCATGCCATTCTTCTTCGATCAAGAAATGAACGTCAATCTAATGGTGCATCACGGCATCGGGGTCAAGGTCGACTTGCACAAGGTCACCAAAAGCGACTTGAAGGCGAAAATTTTTGATGTAGTCAGGAATAAGAAGTAAGTATCCTTCTAAGTGTGTTTCACCTTCGTTAGTAAATTCAAACAAGATAATCCACACTTTTATCACACTATGTGTGTTTACTAATTGTAGTTAATCCTTCAAATTTTTGCGCAACGATGACATCATACAGAACAGGGTCAATGTCTCCAAATAATCAACTTTTAGCCGGTTAAGATAAGATTAAACTTATTGAAAAAGGCAAACGTTAAAGTTTAATCTTTGGAGAAACATAAGTTCCAGAAAGTGCAGTTTTTTGTTAAATAAAATTGTATTTCTTTAAAAACTAATTGAACAGTTTTCAAAAATATTTCCACATTCAAGGGCTTTCCATTCAAAAAATACAAATAGCGTTTATCATAAATACTTTTCCCATACGTAGGTATCCGTTTGAGATAAGAATACTTAGGTCCTATTGTTAGATCCGCAGTTATGTGTTCTAACCTCAAATAAATAGGCCAAAATAGAAAACCTTACAACCCTCATGGGCGCTGATTCTCTACTTATATTCAAATTAAGAGGAAAACAGTATTTACTAAGGTTTCTATGAATAGTATTGTGAACAACAATGTTATATGAAGTCATGAGTTGAACTGCACAGGGTCGTATTCAGAAATGACAAGTCCGGATTTAGATGCAATTAAGTCTTCGGCGTTCTCCTAAACCACGAAATTCGTCACTGCACTGGTACTACGTACACTTTAATTTTTCCGTGGTCTCCTTGGATCGCTTTGACAAATGGAATTATTGTAGGGTTTTTTAATGCATTAAAGCAAATTAATTTTTGAATTTGTACTTTATAAATTGACGTGGTCTACTTGTTATATTAGAGCTTAACATTTAGAAGGGCAACGTTCGACTTCAATCCTGTCACTTTGGTCAGGATATTTCTATCGTTTCCTTGCATCGTTTCGACAAATGCTGGGCCAGTAATACTTCACAGACAATTATCCACTTCTCTTCTATCTCCATTTCGACTATGCCATCTGTCTCTCCCCTACCACCACCTTCCAAAAAAAAAATCTGGCCCCCTTCCAGTGGACGCGGCGGAAAAGAAAAGGTTTGAAGGTTGTAAATGAAGAGGTATTAGAAAGAATAGGAGAACAGAGGACTCTGTGGAAATCAATAAGAAATAGGCGAGATAGGTTGGCAGGACACCTTCTTAGGCATGAAGGTCTAGTCAGAGACATATTAGAGGCAGAAACAGAAGTAGGAGGTGTAGAGGCAGACGTAGATTTAGGATTTGGGTTGGGTTGGTTTTAGGGAAATGCGAAGTTTAGCTCAGGATAAGAAAGAGTGGAGGTACGTATCCAACCAGTCTTAGGACTGACGACCTTATGATGATGATGATGACTTCATCGATGAACGTGGTACACTTGTAAGATTGGAGCTTAGTTCTGGATTTTTGTGGTTTTCTTTCGTCGTTTAGACGAATATTATATTCCATAGATAATCTAACACTTTCCTTCTGTCTTCATTTTGTCCTTGTCATTTGCCTCATCCCAATCATCACCCACCCATTCCAACAGTACCTAAGAGGAGACTGGAGTGGGCCTTCCACCTCACTCTTCAAGTTTGCAATAAAGCTTGTCCATCAGCATTAGTAACTGATCAAAATGAAGCACACAAAAATGTTTACTTAATCTTCACCTAGCTATGACTAGCTGCATGGTCTAATGGTTAGATCATAGTTTAGTATTGTCTTAGTCTAAGTTCCTCTATAGTTTCCTTGAACTGTGTGAGTAAATGCTGGGGCGATTTTCTACCACAGATTATTTTTCAGTACTCCACTGTCTTTAGCTCGTTCGTGATGACTTCCTCGCCTTAATCTTTCACCCCACCCATCACTTTGCGTTACATTGCATTACCCATTAGTTTTAGCCGATAGATTACATTACATTCCGACAGAAGCGGAGAGAAACTAACAAAGTCATTAATCTGTTTTCAGGTACCACAGAAAGATTTCAGAAGTAAGAGATTTCATACTAGACCAACCGATGACGGGTCTCGAAAAGGCAGTTTGGTGGACGGAATACGTTATAAGACACAAAGGTGCAAAGTACTTCAGGAGTCCATTGCTCGACACCCCCTCGTATCAGTATTTCCTGATGGACATCATAGTTTTCGTAGGATTGGCACTCTTCCTAATTTTGGGAATTTTCTTATCTCTGTTCGTGCTTTTGAAGCCGGCTCTGTTACAAGTGATAAAGTATCTGTTTCTGGGCGACGAAAAGAAACTAAAGGCTATGTGAAAAATGGTCCCAGAAAAACAGTCTCGTCTAACTCTTTTGTAATTATTTGCTGTAATTTAAGACGCAGTGGTGTATCGGTACAATAGAATATGTTCACCGTGATTTAGGATAGTGATGGAGTCGAATATGTGCTAGTTGATGCTTCTAAAACAATTATTGTTTCCGATGTTGACGTTTTGTTGGCTATTTTTTACTTTTATTAACCTGATATTGGTGACGTGTGTTTGTTTAAAGGGTGATTGTTAGTTTGTCATATTTCAAAATAATTGACCCTTCTACGAGTTTATCTTGTGGGACCTCACCCACACCATATTTATTGTTGCCCTATAAAGTATAAGTGTCTCATACAATAGATACTTTTAATTATGCCGAATGAAATGTTGGAAGAAAACGATTACTTGTACAATAACTTCCAATTTTTTTGCGAATATGTGATATGTGTTGTTGAAAGTTGATTAACTTATTGATTATAGTTTAATTTTAATCTTTTTACCACTACCTGTTCTCCTGTCCCTTAATTTATAATGCACTGTTTTTTAATTGTTCTAAGTAAGTAAGTACCTGAAAAATTCAAACTTGTGTAAACAAAATCTGCGGTTGTCTAATAAATTGATACAAACGAAGCAACAACTTCTTATTTCATTTTGATGTGTGAACTTTGTTTAGTGCGATATACAAGTAACCAACAATACAAGATGCACAAAATCAATTCAAATTTTCCTAGACGATTTCTGACACATTCCAGTGATAGTATTTTATGAACGTTTAGTAGTATCATATAAAATAGAAATGAATAAAAAAGTCAGATAGGCAAGAATCAGTATCTTATTATCTTTAACAAATAGCCAAAACAAACGAGGACGACACTGACTAACAATTGACGGACTCCAGTATTGTTAGTAATCAATTACTAACCAGATTCAGAGCGCCAGTCACAAATTAACAAACGGACTATCGGTTACTAAAAATGAACACGTGACTCTCGATTTATGAAGGCACTGTATATGTTTCTAGTCACATCTGTCTGAAAATATCGCCTGCTTCTCTGGAAACTGCCCTAAATAACAGAACTCTCAAAATCTTTTGAACAAAGCACATCACCTTTCAAAATTGCTGAAGGTACTTGGACGAATTTTCCTACACCACGTTGTATTGTTTAAAAGATGATGCCGCCGTTTGATGACAGCATGCAATGCAAAGTGTACACTTAATTCAATTACTTTAAAATAACTAGAATTTCTCCATTTCTCTAACCCAAAATTTCCTCAATCAGGTCAACGATTGTCCACGTAAATACCACTAGGTGATGATGTGGTCAAGTTTGTTTTTGTTTGCTCTATTTTAAAAGCGAACAGAGTATACTAAATTTTTTATTACTAGAAATGGTGTGTGATCAAAATTCAACCAAACACTTCCATGCTTCTATTTGACATCCAGTAAGCTTTGGATAGAGTTTNTAAGACTGATAACGACAAAAACTATTTATTTAGACTAATTATTAAAGAACTTAAAAACGCTATTAAATTATTACTAAACTTAGGTTATGAATTATTCTATTTATTTACACTACTTTTGATATATCACTATTCACTGCGCTATTTATTTCACTGCTATCGCTGTCAATTTATTTCTGGATTCACTTCTGCAATGGTCAATTTATTTCTACTCTTCTCGGCGATCGTCTCTTCCTTTAAATACTATTTTGTTTACTTTCTGGCACCTTCTGGAAACATCCGGATAGTTTCTTTTTTCTTTAAACTCTTTAACTGCTTTCCCAGAACGCGCGTGCGACACACACATTTACAAATACGACGCACATGAAGAAAGGCGCCCGCGGCTAGTCGGCGAATCGATAAGCCGCTCACACACACGTGTGCCCGATCGCACACAAACACGCTCGTTCTCGCCAGAATATTTTAATTGTATACCATTTATAACGAAAGCTTTCTATAACTGGACAAAATGATTGGTTATAAGGAGGTTACACAGTAATAGAATACTTTAAATTGCAGAACGCAGATATTTTTTACAGAAGCTTATTACTCTAAGTATCTACTCCGGTCAATTTCAGAAGGCGAAGTCCACCATAAATTCATTTAATGAAAGAGAGCTGTTTGACCGTCTTAATCCACACTAAAACGGACTGCCACTTAAGTTTTTAAATCTGATAGGGATGAAAGGTGAATGTTCATGGAAAAATTCGGTATAATACCTCGCGTTTGAATTAAAAGTTTACTGTAGAGATCGCCTTCCTAAACTGACCAAAAAACATCTCAATTTATTATTATCTACTATTTCTTAATTTTCTACCATAGTACTATTAATATTCTGATAATATAAATTAGATATCCACAGATGGACAATTGATTAAGGATATTATTTTTAATTATTTTATTTTAATATCTCCTTAACCACCACCCTCCTATTTTTACTATTTTGAAGGGAGTAGAAGGGAAAATAAAGCAAGCAAAAGTTATGTCTTTTTATAGGTACTAGCAATATATGAACCAGTGCATTGGTTTATTTTAAGTCAATCAAAGGGTCAAACGTTTGAATTTTATTAATTTTTTTCATCTGAAAGGGTACATATATTGATAGTGCAAAGTTGATCATGGAGATCACGGAAGTTAAATATTAATTAACATTCATTCTGTCGTCAATTATGTAAACTGTTAAAAAGCTGAAAAATTTAACGCGAGCCGCCGCTGCATTTTATAATCAAGAGAAGCGCCCGTCTGTCTAACGTAAGAAATACGTTCCTGTCTTTGTTTTATTTTCCGTAAAGAAAATGATAAATTTATACCGAACTTGAGCAGTCCATTTAAATCGGCCAGAGTTATTATTTTTATTATTATTATTACTACTGCATTATCTCAACGACAACGTTTCTTTTTTGTTTTGATTACACTCATGTTACGCAACACTAACACAGCGACTTTATCAAAGAGGTAATAAAATATAAATTATACTTAGAACCATTTGTTTTATTAATTAATTAAGATTCAACGACTTTCTAAGATATCTAATTAATTAATTATGCGAGCGCCATACTTTGATCTATTATACAGGGCGTTCGTTTTGTCCTCTATATTGCAATATATCGAAAATGGTATAATTTTTGGAAAAAGGTGTGAACACTGTTGCTATTTTTCCAATGCTGGCAACGATACCCGCAAATTGAATTAACGGCTGCCGGAGGCTTGCACCATGATCATGACGTAGTTTGATATACCTACAGTCTTTGCTACCACTGGTTCGATTATTATATGTAGACTACGCAAACATTTTGAGAATAGTGCAGTGGTTAAAACGTTCGCTTGGTATGCAAAAGATTCGGGTTCTGTGCTCAGCTGATCCAATTTTTTTTTTTCATATTTTATTTCTTTCATTACAGGAGCCTATAATAAGGATTTTCGTAGGTTATAGTGAAAACTATAACACGAGCGTAGCAAATAATGTCATTTTTACTGTTTTTGCTAGTTATTGTTTTCCATTTTTAACACCATTGCCGTTAAATAAACTAAATGGAAACGATGCAATTCTATTGACGTTACAAGTTAGTTATGCATTCAACATCAACAACCAGCGTTGTCAAGTATCACATCACAAATGTAATCATGCAATTTTTTTACCGATTTAAAAAAAATCCCTTCCTAATATTTTATATTTGTACAAATCATTATGTAAAAATTTTACAAGAAAATCGTCTTCAGTTAAAACACCATAATTACCTACACGTTGTATATTATATAAGTAGAATTTTGGCTTATAATGTTCTGTTTAAGCATTCTGGTGAAATAATCAATATTTTTCTTATTCCTTTACGAAAGTCTTTTATAAAATATCCTTTAAACGCAATTGATAATATTACCTATTTCCGAGTCCTTTAAAAGTGTGAAATCGTATGTTTATTTTAGTCACGTATCAAACAGGTGCTATCAGGGTGAAGTGGCTATTCAGTTTTGTACGATAATTTGTATTTGTTTTACATAATCTCCTTGAAGAATATCTATAATTATTTAATTTACTAGTTCTACACAAATATTGATCTATTAGTTTAATACAATATTATTGCAGTAAGTGGAGTAGAATTAATTATGAATTATCTTTGGAAAGATTATCGTCCGCAAATCAATAATTTGATAAACTAAATTAAATGCATTTTATTTCTTGCTTACATATTATTCGAATTCTTGTAGTTTATTTAGTTTTCTATTAAATTAACAAAAGACAGAAGCAAAAAAAATTCATATGGGATGGCGTATATCCTTCACAAGAACATGAAATAATCCATACCAAAGGATTATCATAAACAAAAACCCTGCAACCTCATTACCATCTATTCGTACCACTGACCAAACGAGTTAAACTCCTGCTACCGCTTCTCCTTTTTTTTTTCTTGCAGTCTCACTGACGATAACTTCTTTAGATTGACTCTAGAAAGATGCCCCAATCAAAATCAAAATGTCGATATCATAATTACTATTAAGTATTTAAGACCGTCTTAAGCTTTCAAAGATCGGCTATTGGATGCATCAGCATGACTCTAGGATCGCAGCTGCGAATGGACCCAAGTCGCCCTAAGTCCGCCCATTGAATCCTAAATTGTTAACTTATCCCATTTTAATGTGAAATTTAAGGCTTCGACTTCACATGAGTCAAAATGCTTTGCTCAATGTAAAATCATGAGGTGTTTTTATTTATTGCCGAAACTGGGAGCTTTTGTGACTTTTTCTCGATGAACATGACTGCTAAATTAGTTATCCAAAAAAATCACTTTCTGACAAAAGGGTTTTGAAAATAGAATAAGGATCAACTTGAAGTCTGACACTTTTTAATTTTCCTACCTAGGTGCTTCATCATCGTGAAGTCTTCAAACCAATGTCTGATTGACTCAATTTTGGCATTTCTCGAAAATTTGGGCAACCTACGTCTTTAATCGTTTGCGAATAATAATTTAGGTCTACCTCTATCTCTCTAAACTTCAAAGGCGATTTCTTTTTGTTGATAGCAAACTAATTCTACACTACCTATTCCTTGTTTTATATCTCTAGTGCATTTTCCGTTATATGATTCCCTCAATATCGAAAATCAGTAACTTCTTCTAGTTTCACGTCTTGTACTTTTGTATTAATTCTAACCCTACTTTTACATCAGTTGCATGTCAATGTTTTACTTTTATTTATTTTTATTAACTTTCATGCCAAATTCTTCTAATATATAGGTAATAATATTATCATGGAACTCAAGGCGTTTTGAGTTATGTGAGGTTATGTACTGGTGGTAGTAGATTATTGCGGTACTAAACGCGATTGGGGTTGTATAGGATATAAAATCTACAACTGTGTAGCCCACGCTTGACCCATACCAAAAAGGGGGACGGCTATGTCCCTACATGATCCTGTAATCATGCAGGGACATAGCATAAGCCTGTAAGCAGATGTCACTGCATCTTGAAACGCGATACTCAAACGGTAAAATGTCCCAAGGAAGCAATTGCAAAACATGCCTTTCTTAGACAAGGAGGAAGAAGGGTATCTTTTAAAAGATATTGAACAGCTACAAATGTAATCAATGTACTGAGGTTACAGAAGAATATACTAAAAAAAGAATAAGTGA